CTCTATGGATGATGCCAATATATAAGAATGCATGTGATTTTGTGAACAATTAAAGAATTGCATAAAGCATAGGGGTATATCTCTATCCCCTATCGGACCTTATGTTAATTTACACCTTATCGAACCTATTCCACTTCTCTCGAATGTAAGAAATAAGTCATCAACACTCACACAATCATTGGCCACTAATTGCGGAAGAAAATCAATGCATATAAACCAACCAAATTATCCAAACGAGTCTTTATATTAAATTCATGAAATATGGAATTAAAATAACAAACAATGGTTCATCGATCACCTAGTAATTGAAAACTTAGCCTAGAATATTCATAATTACAGAAAAAAATGAAATTAATAAATAGAAAGAATAGCACCCGTATGAAAATTCCTTGAAATCTTGAATAAAACCTTGAAAACCCGCTTGAATTCTTGTGGAATCGGCTTCAAGATCGTGTTTCTTGCCTCCAAAAGTTATATTTTTCTTCTCCCTGGACGTTCTGCCCTATCTCTGATGAATTTTGACTTTTATATCATGTCCTTACGGAGCCCCGAAAGAGTTTCAATTAAAAACGGAAGTTCAGAATTTTCTTCGACATTCAAAGCCATGCGGCCGCATGGTGTTAAACCATGCGACCGCATGGTTCAAGTGATCTGCCTCAATAATATCCTTGCCTCCTCTTGTGCGGCTGCATGGTATAGTTACATGCGGCCGCAAGGTTGTAACTTTACAACCTTGCTATTTTGGTCCCTGAACTCCGTTTTCTCTTTTCTTGATCTCTTTTCTTTCTTTCCTTTGTTCCATTATCAAATATTGACTCCTAATTGATGTTTGGGTCACTCAATTCCTTGATCACTTGCTCGGCTCATCTTTTGATTAATTGCAATTTAGTCCTTCATCTTTCACTTTTCTTCAATTCAGTCCAATGTTACTTCTTTCTTCCTCCGATCGTCTTGTATCATCCTCAATCTCATACTTGGCATATTTTCATTCTCGTTCTGCACTTTAGCTCAACTTTCCAATATTTGCACCTTTGGTCCCCGAACTATCGCTTTGTTCCGTTTTGATCCTTTTTCGGCTATTTTCTTTTGAATTCCATCTTTTCCATAGAAACACCTACATTGCATGAATTTAACGAGATTAAGTCATAATTCAACTACTTTGTTCATGTTTAAGTCATGTTTGTTAGCTAAATAAGTGTGTAAAAACACACTTATCATGGATCAACATATCTGCACATAATATTGCCTGACATTTGATGCAAGGTGTGTAGATATGTGGTGGTGTTGTGATGTCAATGGCTGATGAGCTCTCTAGGAAAGTTAGTGGGAGGGTTGCACCATAACTATTAGCATGGTTGTTTCAACATGTAGCCGATGAATGCTTGGAGTTCGCAGATAATTCTAAGTGGTTATACTAATCTGGTGGAGTATAGGACCGTTAAAGTGTGTCAAAGGCTTGCCAATTTTTTTCAAAGTATTGTGATTAAAAGTTGTAGAAGAGATGACGAGATTTCAACTCGTTTTTGGCAAGGTGGAAATTGTTGGGTAATTGTCTCAAAAAACAAAAGTTGAAAGACTTTTATTGCAAATAATAAAAGGTAATAATTGTATGGAAGATTTCTAATTAAAGTTGAAAATAGAATCCTTGCAGTACTTGGTCTCCAATTTACAACCGAATTGTATGGAAGATTTCTAATTAAAGTTGAAAATAGAATCCTTGCAGTACTTGGTCTCCAATTTACAACCGATTTTAGAGTTTTGCACTTGAATGAGTCCTTGTTTGAGTTGCAATTAAACTCTTCTACTCGATTATTGGTCCTATAAATAGTGGACGTAGCTTAAGATTTGATCAGAGAGAAAAATATTGTGAGCCTAACATTTTGAGACTTTTCGTACAAAATAGTAGAAAAGTATATGAGGTAAAGCTCGAGTTTATTTTTCTTTGTAATACTTGGGGATTGGATTTGTGAGTAAAATTATATGTGATTGTAACAATTTTCACATAGTGAAAAGTTTTGACGATCCGTTTAATTCATGCATTATATTCTTTATTTTTCCTATTTGCTAATATTCTCTTGAACAACAAAAGATCGTGCGGATAAATAGAAATAAAGGAAATTGGTGTAAAATTCCCAATAATATTGCCTAGTCGAGAGGCTGGATGTTTTTATTATGAGTAATGTTATTGTCTAAAGTCATCCGCTCGATCTGACTCAGCCCGAGTATGTATTCAAACTTGAAATTTTCAAAATGTATAAACTTGAAAGTAATAATATTCTTCCATAACACCAAATATCTGAATTCTTCACTGTTCTTCTAGGAAAACTTGGACATATATAGCCCTTGTTTGAGCCTCTTTTTTCACCAAAATACATTCTTTAACAGTGATTTGACACTATTTCAACTGCACATTTTTCAATAAAATAATATTATACGCAAATCAAAAACTTTTTCTTATTTTTTAACCAAACATTTTCCATCAATACACTATTCAAAAATTCATTTTCTCCTCTAAAATGGGGCTCAAACAAGGGCATAGTCTATTTTGTTATTTTAAACTATTACTCTATTTTTCACAATGAAAAAATTTCTTAACTCTCACGTGCTACCATAAATCGACATTGTACACACATGAATGATGTGTCCTTTAATTAGAATAGACTCCACCTTAAATTATTCTTACATGTTTGATTTCTTCATGGGAAAGTTGCCGCAGTGGCCCTTAACCTTTCAATTTTTTACAAACTTTATCCTAACATTCACTCTGTACCACCCACAATTTCATTTCATTCTCCACCCACCCTGTCACCCAAATCCATTGCCCAAAACCACCACTGTTTGAATCAGAATAGAGAACATATACAGGTGGAACTGGCAAGGAGATGAAAGACAGTTTTCTTTATCTCGACTAGGATTTTCATCTTGAAAATCTCTTTATCTTTGCCTTTTGCCTTCCAATAACCAGAATCAGTGGCTCTATTTTTCGCCCATTTTCTCCTTCCCTTGAATTTCAAAGATTCGGAATTAAAACAAAGGAAAATCAAAGGATCAAGAACACTCTCGTTATGTTTAAAATTAAAACTTGGATGGCAGTTCAATCTTATTCAAACCCACTTCTCCAATGACTGTAGTACAAAAGTTGTTATTAAGTACTTTTGGAGATAGATAATGAGTTATAAGCTCTTCGTCTGTAGGATGAAATCGAAAACCTTGAGGCAAGTCGACTGAGCTAAAACTGGAGGCCATTTTCTTCTTGCTGTTCTTGTTTGAAAAATTCTAAATCAAACTTAAACCTTAAAAATGGCTAAATTATAAAAAGATGAGATGGATTTGGGTGACAGTTGGGGGCAGTGGTTTTGGGTGGGTGGGGTAAAGAAGGAGATGAATATTTTTTTATTTTTTTTACTTTTATTTTTATTTTGTTTAGTTATTTATTTTAATTGTTTTATAGGATTAAATAGCAAAGATACTCTTTTACCCTTTTAAATTGATCAACTAACAGTCAAATAGATGATTTCCATCAATTTGGATCCCTGGTGCATATTATTAAAAGGTTTGAAACTGTGGTTGGTACAAAATGAAGATTAAGGTAATGTCTGTAAAAAAGTGAAAGATTAGGGACCGCCACTGCAATTTTCCCTTTCTCCATTACACAGAAATAAAAAATAACACACAAAACCCAGAGGAAAATGAATTAAATAAGTATATTGAAATGTATACCCTCACTCGTAAATTATGCGTCCAATTATTTTCTCTCTATAGTTCACTCTAGACCACTTCGCAAGTTAAAAATCCAACCTTTTTTCTCCATCCACACATAAACGCACAGTGCCGACAAAGGAAGAACAACGGAAGGCTAAAAAACCACAAAAGTCAAGGAAAAAAATGGGGGAAGAAGAAACAGGGGAGGAGTATCTGTTCAAGATAGTGGTAATAGGTGATTCAGCGGTGGGCAAATCCAATTTACTGTCCCGTTTTGCAAGAGATGAGTTTGACCATAACTCCAAGGCCACCATTGGAGTGGAGTTTCAGACTCAGGTGGTGGAGATTGATGGCAAGGAAGTGAAGGCCCAAGTGTGGGACACTGCTGGGCAAGAGAGATTCAGAGCTGTCACTTCTGCTTATTACAGAGGGGCTGTGGGGGCACTTATTGTTTATGATATTAGCAGGAAGACTACTTTTGAGAGTGTCAAAAGATGGCTTGATGAACTTAACAGTAAGCTTTTTTAGTCGTTTCTTGATTATCCTTATGTGGTTCTTGCTAATAATTTAGTTGCTTTTGATTAGATCCAGCAATAAAACTTTTTGAAGTGGTGAAAAAGGATTCAAATGATGATTAGTTTGTTGTTCTTGGGTCATTTTTCCATTACTTTATACTTGTTTTGATATTCACTGCTGTTCTAGTTTGATGATTCATAGGTTTACATGTTTTAGTGGATTAGATCCTTGGTTAACTCTGCAGTTGGTACTACGAGGCTATCCTTTTGTTAGATTAATCTTTTACTCTGCTAATTTAAAGGTTGTGGTTAGTACTCAGATGCAGTAAATCAAGTTCCTGTTTGACAACCATTTTTTTGGGGAAGAATGAGTTTTTGAATAATAATTTTTTGGGAACTTGTGGTTAAAAAGTTGGAAAAGTTTCGGGTATACTTGAAGAATGAGAACGTGAGTTTGAAAATGAGTACGAGAAAAAAAGAATTAGAATGGATGCCAAACAGGGGCTAAGAATGTAGGCAGTTCAGAAGTAGAATATGTGTGGAGGAAAGCATACATAATGATTCAATAACGATGAATCTAGCAATTAGGGCTGCAAGCTGCAACGAACGCTTGTCGACCAGAATAGGGTTGATTGAGAATCATTAGGCTATGCGATAAATTGTTCTTGGATGATAAGAAGCCATACCTTTTTTCTTTTTTATTTGGTAGACATCATCGTACTTGTAATTTACTATGATATGTGATGTTCTGTTTATATGGTCGCAGAACAACGTTGCCATCACTCGTAAATTATGCGTCCAATTATTCTCTCTCTATAGTTCACTCTAGTCCACTTCCCAAGTTAAAAATCCAACCTTTTTTCTCCATCCACACATAAACGCACAGTGCCGACAAAGGAAGAACAACGGAAGGCTAAAAAACCACAAAAGTCAAGCAAAAAAATGGGGGAAGAAGAAACAGGGGAGGAGTATCTGTTCAAGATAGTGGTAATAGGTGATTCAGCGGTGGGCAAATCCAATTTACTGTCCCGTTTTGCAAGAGATGAGTTTGACCATAACTCCAAGGCCACCATTGGAGTGGAGTTTCAGACTCAGGTGGTGGAGATTGATGGCAAGGAAGTGAAGGCCCAAGTGTGGGACACTGCTGGGCAAGAGAGATTCAGAGCTGTCACTTCTGCTTATTACAGAGGGGCTGTGGGGGCACTTATTGTTTATGATATTAGCAGGAAGACTACTTTTGAGAGTGTCAAAAGATGGCTTGATGAACTTAACAGTAAGCTTTTTTAGTCGTTTCTTGATTATCCTTATGTGGTTCTTGCTAATAATTTAGTTGCTTTTGATTAGATCCAGCAATAAAACTTTTTGAAGTGGTGAAAAAGGATTCAAATGATGATTAGTTTGTTGTTCTTGGGTCATTTTTTCATTACTTTATACTTGTTTTGATATTCACTGCTGTTCTAGTTTGATGATTCATAGGTTTACATGATTTAGTGGATTAGATCCTTGGTTAACTCTGCAGTTGGTACTACGAGGCTATCCTTTTGTTAGATTAATCTTTTACTCTGCTAATTTAAAGGTTGTGGTTAGTACTCAGATGCAGTAAATCAAGTTCCTGTTTGACAACCATTTTTTTGGGGAAGAATGAGTTTTTGAATAATAATTTTTTGGGAACTTGTGGTTAAAAAGTTGGAAAAGTTTCGGGTATACTTGAAGAATGAGAACGTGAGTTTGAAAATGAGTACGAGAAAAAAAGAATTAGAATGGATGCCAAACAGGGGCTAAGAATGTAGGCAGTTCAGAAGTAGAAAATGTGTGGAGGAAAGCATACATAATGATTCAATAACGATGAATCTAGCAATTAGGGCTGCAAGCTGCAACGAACGCTTGTCGACCAGAATAGGGTTGATTGAGAATCATTAGGCTATGCGATAAATTGTTCTTGGATGATAAGAAGCCATACCTTTTTTCTTTTTTATTTGGTAGACATCATCGTACTTGTAATTTACTATGATATGTGATGTTCTGTTTATATGGTCGCAGAACAACGTTGACGACCTTTGTCATTTTCACCAACCAAAATGAAGTCGTCTCATCTATCTTGAGGGAGTATTTTGTATCATAAACTTCCAATACTAATTTTCTGGTTTTCATATTATGGCCACAATCTGTTCTCGGAACTGTTTTAGTAATGGGGTTTTGCTTTAATTATAAAGGCATTCACCTGAATTCATAAACAGATTTTATATTCGAAGTTGATTGAGAGAGTTCAGATGACAAATAGAAATCAAGTGATCAGTTACAGTTGGTGGCTTATTTTCAAAAAGTTTACTTGAATATTCTGTGCCAAACATTCAATAAACGAACATTTGGATGAAATTTTCATTTTGAGCTCGAGTAATTCTTGATCTTTCCTGTTGATGCAGCTCATTGTGATACGACTGCAGCAAGAATGCTGGTTGGGAACAAGTGCGATTTAGAGAACATCAGAGAGGTGAGCATGGAAGACGGGAAAAGCCTTGCAGAAGAAGAAGGATTATTTTTCATAGAGACATCTGCTTTGGATTCAACTAATGTGAATAAGGCTTTTGAGATTGTTATCCGCGAGATCTACAACAATATTAGCCGGAAAATTCTCAACTCCGATTCCTACAAGGCTGAATTGTCTGTCAACCGTGTCAACATTGACTTATCAAAGCAAAATAAGAGCACTTACACCTGCTGTTCAACATGATTTCTGGTTTGCCACTTTCCAGTGATCTGCCTATTTCATTTTTCCGGAGGAATAAAGCTTAAGGCTTTCTCCGGCTGAAGTTTATTTCATCGAGTTGGTACTGGTTTTGATGCTAGATCCAGCATTGGGATCAACATGTTACATTATACTTGAGCTACAATCACCGATCGTGTTATAAACTATCATATTCTAGATCGAGTCAATTGAAGGTCGTTAAATTTTATACATTCTAGCATGGAAAGGACATGTTTTCTCCGGTGGGAGTAAGATGGATTCTGTTTTTTAACTCACTGACGACATGATGAGAGAATCTAGAACCCATGTGTACTAGTTCGTTCTTCATAGCCATGAAATGATCATCATATAATGTGCTTTCAGATGGAGGATCCCATTCACACTCATATCCTAGGGAAAGGGCACGATGTAATGGCGAATCGCCCAACATTTAGCGAACAGAAATGCTTGAAGAAATACAGAATATATAAATGACAAATATGGTACAAGCCAGGATAAGAGTTAAAGTAGTGATTAAAAAATAAAACAATAAGTTAAATGTTAACCTATTTACTAGCACTTTTTACGTCTGTGAAATATGGCGTCCATACAAATGGGACCTAAAGGCAAAATCTTCATGGCTTCCTCAAGGCCGAGGCAGCGCCCATAACAACGGCTAGTAGGATTCCAACACCTGCTCCTACGGAAGCACCAACGGCAGCAGCAGTCAACGAGTTCGATTTGGCCTGGTCGTCTAGACTTGGATCTCTAGCTGCACGCTCCCTTGCCAACTCCAAGAAAAGCCTATCTCTGGCAAGTTCCTTTCGAGTGGAAAGGAGAAACATGGCAAACGAACTTCAAAACTAGATCCACAAGTGTTTGGCTAAGTTTTAAACTTATTTTAGAAAGTAGAAGGCTTTGTACCTGTGAAGCAGCTTCCTCATGAGAGCGAAGCAGTCTGTGAATGAGTTGACAGAGAGCCGAAACACCCTCTACAGGGAGAACGGCGGGTTTCTTCTGGAAAGGCCTCCTAACAAGATTTAAAGGAGCAAAAATGAGCATTTGAGGAGTCGGTGTAATGTCTGGTTCTTTGTCAATTGAGCTCCATGGCACAGAACCACCGGCAGCACTGGGCATGACATATGGACATGAATTGATGACTTCCGTCATGCTTGGAGAGGCTTGATATGCCTGCAGCACATCGTTAATAGCTGCCTTTTGCTGGTGTGCACTGACAGAGAATTTGTTTGTTATGGCAAGGACCCAAGGAACACCAAGAGATTTAGCCTCATCCAAGAGTAGTGTGAGAGCTGGCTGTGATGCATTTGTTTGACTGTATCGAGGTATTCGGTGGGACAAGTTATGCACGAGAACAACCAAATCTATTTTTTTACTAAGGTCACGAATTCCCTTCCACAGTTCATTTCTGAAATGAGAAGCCTCCATATTCAAATTCTGCATTGAAAGCAGGAAGAAAAGAGAAGAATGTATCAAATATTAACCCAGGAAATAAGCGATTCCAATTTAAGGAAGCGGGGTTCATAACTTTAGTAATCATTTGCACGTATCATGCAACCTCCAACGATATATCAACAGAAACAAAAAACGCTTAACATAGTACTACTGCCAAATCAAGTTCATAAACAACATTTTGAAGTTGTACTTTCTCCATGAAAGATCGGCAATTTCTTTGGAGAAACAATTTAGAAAATACAAAGGTGCATTCATAGCTCGATCAAATTATTCCTCGACAGTCGGTACCAAATGTCAGTAATTATTCATTTAAGGACAACTCAAGGTGCAGAAGAACAATTCATCACTTAAAACACATTTCTGATTCACCACACATATGCTCGCCAAATAATGAATGAACAATATAACAAACTTTCTCAGAAAAGTTTACTTCATTAATTGACACGAGTACATTTTGCTTACAGGGATCCAACAGAAATCCAACTACCACCATAACATAACAAATTATTAAATATTTACTCTATAGTTCTGCATCAACAAGTAGACATAAAGCTACTTCAAAGCTGAACAAGCAGTGCGCATATTTATAATATTGAAGTGGAAGTAAATCAAACTACAGTGTTTGTGCATGTGGCTCATATAGAGTGGAACACAGGCTCTGGATTAAATGGGCCGATGTGGCGCGGAGCGGAGTGGAATGAGAGGAGCGGAGTGCATCGAACGAAACGGAGCGGAGCGACGGCATCGGCCTTACGTGGGTTTAATTCACTGTCTGGTTGTTAGGAATGCTGAATGGGTTGGGGGTGCGGGGGCAACATCCCCGCGGTACGGTACAGGGGTATTTTCTGTACGGGCCTTAAAGTTTTATATGAGCCCATGCTAGGGTTAGTATAAATAATATGTTGTAACCCTATTTTTCACAACTGGATAAAAAAATCTTCGCTTCGCTCTCATGGACGTAGGCACATCGCCGAACCACGTAAAATTCTTATGTTGATTTTCGTTTTTCATCTCTTTAATATTGCGCACAAAATCCAACATACAGCAATAATGAAGAAAGAACTACCTGATTTTGTGACCGAAAGTGACATAAAAATCAATAATAACAAACATAATGTCAATCCGTGCTTGTTATAATCAAAGCTCCAATGTCAAACTGTTTACACAGGATTGTAAGTTTGCATTTGGTTACAACATAACATAAATTGCTGCCTTCTTGGTTTGATAGTACACAAAATAATTCACAAACTCGGGCTTCTAATGCCAAGTTACGATGCAGTTATACACAAACAGGAGAAACAAAAACTCAGAGAATGCGTTTGGGGAAAGTACCTGTAAATTTACTCCTGCAGAATCTGAATAGCACAAACCACCAGCAAGACTTTCTTGAAGGTCCACGTCCATAGGAAAATTCTCAAGACTTGGAGTGCTACTAGGTCTGCCATGATTCAAAATTGCCTTAAGTAGAGAGGTTTTACCAGCACCCTGCAAAATCCATACTCATCATCCATGTCAAGATGTAAGAAATACTATGGATTTAAGTACCTTAAAAGCATGATAGCATACAATACCTCAAGGCCAATCAGTCGCACCCTACGGGTTCGAACATGAACCTCTTTGGACACAGTAGAAAAATCAGTTGTGCAATAGACAACAAAATCACTCAAACCATCAGGACGGATGAATTTTTCTTCTTCCAAAGCCATGTTCTGCTTCAGCTTCAGATCAATGCAGGTTGGATCAAGAGCAGGAAACATGGGCATTAATCCATCCTCCAATATTTGATGCTTTGGAGGTCGTCTCAGTGGAGATCCAACTAATATTCGCATCCTTTGTATCTCTGGTTGCAATCCATGCTGCATGGAGTACGCTGGTGGTGAAGGAAAAGATTCCACAGCAGTTGAACACCTAATGAAGTTAAGCAATACAATAAGAAATCAAGTCCACAAAGCTGCAAGAGATTTTTAGATCACATATTTGTCGTCCCCACAGAAAAGTAGAAGTAGAGGTCATATTTCAATTAGCAAAAAATCTAAAGCCCTGCCAATATGAATAAGAGAGTTTCGCACTGCCCAAAAGATTATACTCTCAAAGCAGTGTTTACTGGCTCATATTCCTAATCAATGGAATTTTCAACTCTGCCAGCTATAGATAGAAAGGACAAATTAAATGCAGTTGACTGACGCTCTAATGATTGATACTTCATGTATTAATGTTACCTAAGAAATGACAAAACTTTCAGAACCAACTGCACTGCACGTACCAAAGTATAGCGTGGAATCATCAAAAAACAAGGAATCCGTGATTAGCATTCTATAGTAAGTGACATAATTTTTAAGAGTGAACCGGTGCCATGTGCCAGGATTTTTTTTTTCCCCTTTCATATTTTTTAAAAACGGTTCAACAGAATCCTACAATAACAGAAGGATCAAGTGCATGCAGCCATAGCACTTTGTCGTGGTAGCAATTGATTCCTAAAGTTTTATCTGTATTCAAGACTCACAAGGTGCCATAAAATTGCGACAAATCAGTATTCAAGAGGCTTACAGGAATTGTGCGCATATGTCCTTGAGAATCCACTACAAATGGATACAAATCAAAGTTTTATACAAATCAAAGTTTTACTTCCTAATCCATGTGGGACAAGGAACTCTCAGTCCAGGGGACAAGTATACTTCTTTTGAAGGGATTTAGATCGTCGAGAGCTATTCAGAATACAAGATGACAAAGAGCTAATACAAATGTCAATAGAGAATTACACTACAAAAAATTGTGAACGTGTCATGTGCAAGGCTCAAATAGATACATAAAAAGGGATTTAGAGAACGAAGGAAAATAAGAGCCTGTTTGGGAGTAATTTTGAGCATTGATTTTCTGACCGTCAGGAAAAAAGTGGGGTCCACCTGTGAGAGAAGAAGTCAAATATGACGGCTGGAATAGTAAAATAACGGTCAAAAAATCAATTTTTTAGATGAAAAAATCGCTCCCAAACAGGCCCTAAAACAATGGTACTTGTTAACCATCTTACTAAAAGCTGAAGTTGTTAAAGAGGGATTACATGTACTTATTTGAAGCTTTTCTTAAACACGTCCCCATCAAATGCAGACCGGATTCATTTGTTGTTCAAAGGTGTGATGCACAAATTTTATAAATGAGTGATGGCAAGACTGGCTCTAATACCATGTCAACCGTCTCATCTAAGAGCTTAGATAGGGGAAGTATTCATTTTAAATCATTTCTTCAACACTACCAATAATCACACTCAACTTTGTTAAAAACAGAATCAACGAGCAGAACACTAGATGGAAAGTAGAGTTGCATTCGTCACATAACAAGATGAAGAAGAATACCAGTTACCATTAACTCGAGCTTCAATCAATGTACATAGATGTAATCCAAAACCAGAAATATCTACTTTCAAAGGGTCTCCATTCTTCTCAGAAGTATCATTCCATCCAAGAGGAACTAAGGAAGTAGCTGCACGAATGACCGGAGATTCAACAATATGACCAAGCTCAACTGCACCAGCAACTGAAACTCCCAACCACTTTTGTAAATGTGGGAATTGCTGCTCTTGCTCCCTCCCCAAAAATGTGAATAAATTCTCATTCATGAAGAGATCATAGATTCTGAGAGAACGCATCAGCAAGATGATCATGACCATCATGGTTTTCATGTTAAGAGGGAAAAATAAGTTATATTTGAAGCTCATCCATCATCATAGACAACCACATCAACATGACAAGGATCAGAATTTAAAAATGTTCGTAAAGATAATATAAAGGATCAAAGTTTCATTAAATGATATCATCCCCTAATTTTC